CAAAAAAAAAAAAAAAAAAAAAAAAAAAAATATAGCACTGTTTTAAATTTGAAATGTAAAACTCCAAAAATTTTAAAGCAAACATAGGAAAACATATTTGAGATTTAATTTCAGATGAAGAGTTCTTGGACATAACAAGAGAAGCATGAAGAAAAAAGTGACAAAGTTACTTTATCAAGATTACAAACTTTGGTGCCACACAAATCCTGTTCAAGAGTTTGATATCAAGAATGTGCAAAGAGGGGCTGGGGATAAAGCTCAGTGGCACAGTGTCTGCCTAGCAAGCGCGAGGTCCTGAGTTCGATTTCAGATCCCAAAAAAAGAAAAAATAAAAAAAAGAATATGAGAAGAATTTTCAAAGCTGAACAGTTAAATAAAACATATCCAATTTAAAAATGCTCAAAAGAACTGAATAAATACTTAACCAAAGAGCAGTTTCCTGTGCTAAGCACATGAAAAATGTTTTAATGATTTGACCTTCCTGTTTGCATATACCAAAAAAATCTTGTTATTGCCTATAACTGATGGTAAGTGCTGGTTTTGTTTAGATATGTACCAGTTTAGCCTAATTATTAATTGAGCCCTCTTTCATTCTCAAGAAAAACCAGGTTGAGATAGGAAACTCTGTAGTCACCCTACCTACAGAGTCTTGCATTTGGGCCCCAAATAGAACAAGTGATTATACATATAACTATTAATCATTCGTTTTTTGCAGAATGCATTCATGTACACCCAATACCTTTAGAAATCTAATTTCTGTCATGAATATAGTGCAAAGCCTTAGCCAGCATGAATCACAGTGAAACTATGTGTTAAAAATACAGAGAACCAATAAGTTAAGCACTTCCCTCACATATTCCTGTCTCTCAGGTTTTGTGCAGAGCAAATGGGGACTATGACCCAGTAACATGAAACCCTTCATTGTCTATCAAAGATTAGCTTTCTGTGTTTAGTGGACAGTCTTAACCCTTATTAAGAATGGATCTGACCTAAACAAATTCTATATCTAAGAATATTAAAGTACTTATAATCAGATCTTAGCACTTTAAACACATAATCTCAGGGCGTATTCATATGCACCGGCAGTGTATTTAAAGTATTACAGAATTCTCTTCCAATTGACTAGATGAGGCGAACAAATACACTCCCCCCAAAGTAATTACAAAATTGGACAGATGTGAAAAAAATCAACCATTTCAGGACTCCAGAAATGGATAGAATAGAGGTCTATTCAGTTCTGCAAAATTGTTGAACTTTAGAGAAAGATAATGCAAGAAATCACATGCAAAAGACACCATGTTATGTGCTTTCACTTACATGAAATATCCAGAAAAGGCAAAGTTTTAGAGACAGAAAGTAAATCAGTGATTGCATGAAATTGCGGATGGGAAAAAGAGGTGACTGCAGAAGAATTCAGCATAGGCTACCCAATCATTTCTATATAGGTAAATAATTCAACAACTTAACACCATTAAAACTGAGATAGAAAACCCATGTATCTTTGAAAAAAATACATTGAAACATTCTTTATAAAACAAATAGCAATATTATTCTCCATTTCAATACCTACTTATTTGTTTTTGCTTCTCTTTTTGGTTCTGATTTTTTACACTTTCTTTTCCAATTTTTAAGTAAAAATGTATGAAGTCTATAAAAATTACGAAGTCTACAGAAGCAGTACCACTTTGACTTAACAAAAGATGATGTGGAGGGTTTTCTATCTTAAATTTCATTAGAGTTTTGCATAAATTACATTTATAAAGCTAGTTAATATTTTTATTTAGTATGTTACCTTGTCTGACTTGTCAGCCTAAAGTCCGCAGTACATTCCTTTTGCAAACCAACTGCTTCTATGTTAATGATGTTCTCTACCTCAGGATCAGTAGCTATCAAGACCAAGGGAAACTTCCAGATTCCATCTTTTCCACTTTCTATTTTCAGTAAGACATTAGACCTTGAATATAAAAAGTGATTTTAGAAGCTACTGCAGGAAAACAAGCAAAGAGAACAAATATAGCAAATCAAAGTCTAAAGTCCAATGTAAGTAAACTGTGAGGTTTCATCAAAAGTATTGGGATATTTAATTCTTAAATAATGTGTAAGACTGTAAATTACATTGAAGAAAAATTAGTAGATAATAATTCATATTATCATATCCATTTGAGGTAATTATTTTGCAGAGCATTTTATCTAATCTAGAATTTATAATTAATCTATAATTATAATAATTGTATATACTCCAATGATTTATGTAGAATAGCAAATTTTCTACAACCAGTACAGATTCTAATCAGGATAAATTTGGCAAATGGACTTAAGTTTTATGATAAATATTCCATCTGAAGAATTTCTGTCAAAATGAAACACTATGAGAAAATCTTTTCACCTCCTGCTTTATATAGAAAGATCACATGGTCTGTGAACACCTACAAAGCCCCATATAACTGAAGCTTTTAAAATTAATTTAACATTTTTAAAGACCATACACTTGCAGAGTACCATGACTGAGTGGCAATTGAGTTACGCAAGAATATTAAGACAGACTTCTAGGTGGAAATGACTCAGACATATAACTGTGTTGTTGCAATATCATAATTCAGGATTGGACAATAAAATCACAAGCTCTTTATCTACAAGTGTCACCAAGAACAACCCTGGGAACTCTTTACTTCCAAAGGTAGGTCTGTGAAATTATTCAACCATTTAGGAAGCAACTGGGCAACATCTTAGCAAATTTGAGCATGGCACACAATATACCAGCAATTATACTCTTAGCAATTTCCCTAAAGATATGCTCCTAAGAGTTCAAGAATTGATGTGCGAAAGGAGATTTACTACTGCATTGTTTATGCTATGAAGAAAGTGGAAACAAAATTTGAAAATTTTTATTTCAATAGGGTACTGGTAAAATAAACATTATAGAAAAAAAGGAATACTATACAATACAGCTTAGGCAATTACGACTGCTATACCATCCTATACTTAAAACATTCAAAATAGAAACACCAAACCTATACCTCTTACTAATTCTCTTATCTTTGAAATTAAATCCTCTCTTTGCAGTAGTTCAGGAACTAATTTTCGACTTTTGCTGTTTTCCAAGGAATACAGAACTTCAAGAATTCAGAGCTTTTTTTTTTAAATTTTGAATTTATTTATTTTGTTCTCTTTCAGAGAACCTTCCCAACTATATTAGAAACATGAAATGACAGACATAAATATGCACAAAACAATTGATAACATATTAAATTATCACACAAAGCTTACAAAATTTTATGAATCATGTATATAATTTTTTTCCTAAATCAATTCTCTATTTATCCTTCAATAGGCTCTTACTGTTTATAGCATCAATGGCAAAGTTGTAAGTTTAAGAACCTATGTGATAAGGACCCAAGCACATTATCCAACCTGATTTTCACCTTTACTCGCTGCGTTAGTTAAGATTGGCCTCCTTACCATTCATTTCGTATCAAACATTTCCTGCTCCATGATCTCTCATTTGTTTCCTCCTCTACCTCAATTGCTCTTTCCAGTTGTTTTCATTCATACAAAATCTTACTTCAGATATAACTTCAGGGAAGCCAGAAGACCTACTACTTTGATGTTCATCTTTTGGAGTTCTTCTTAAGCCCCATTTACTTCCTTCTAGGTCATTCTCAGATTTGCACATGTATTTCTCTATTAAAACTTTCACTACACTACATACTCCAAAACTATGGGAGTTTTGTCTCCCTTATGAATGAAAAGATTTTTAGTAAATTAATGAACATATACACATGACTACTGCAGAGTAATTCCAGTCAATAGTCCAATTCTTTCAGATAGTGGGAGAGTAGTGTATCACCATTTTGGGCCCATAATTTGAAAATAAATCCTCTCTCTGCAGTATTTCACACTCACTTTCAAGGATGGCAGAGGGAACCATATTATGGTCAGTATTGTAGATCTATAAATATGTGATATTATCTCTTATAAATTGTCCCCTCAAACTCTGTAATAGAACTTCTGACTGTTATATGTTCAACTCTGCCACAGCTAAAATTTTCCAGGTACAAGTTAAGCTAAGGTAATTAGCATTTCTAAAGATAGAATAAGAGAAATTAATTTATCATCTCTCTGCTTTAAAAAAGGTTCACACTTGTGTTAGTTTACCTTGTTAACACTATTCCCCTTCTAGTTGCTGCTGGAATACCCAATCATTAAATTAACATAATACTAACTTTAGGTAAAAATATAAATAAATAAACAGAAAATTATGAAAATGAAAGAAAATACAAACACTTTAATGCCAATATTTATATATTTCATCTTCTCCTAGCTTTATTATTGTTTCTGGAAGATGACACTGCTATCTTATTGGAAATACACTCGTAGCAATAAATAGTTACATCAAATAGAACCTGCAAATACTAAAAATGATTTAAAGCACAAGTAATAGTTTCAATTGATTTTTAATTACTAGTGTGTATATTACACTTTGTGCATACTGTAGTTTTTACCATTTTCTCTACATTCAGACAAAAAATTTCCATTTCAGATGTGAAATATCATATAATATTAATAGCTGCTAACTATTGGTTGCCCGAAAAAGTATACTTAAAAACACTGGGTGACATTTCCTGTAGGACAATTATCTAAAACCCAGTGTTTGTTTTTATGGGTACATGTTACAATACATAACCCTTACATTCTTTGTGGAGAGTTGGTACATATACATAACATAATTCTTTTAGTAATCCTCTTGCACTCCCCTCCCTCCATCTCTCAGTCTCTTTAACTCTGTGAAAAACTTCTCCTTCTATCCTATTGTTTTTTATTTATTCTTTATTTATATTTTGGTTTTCTCATATAAGAGAAATCACGTGCTACTGATGTGTCTGATAAACTTCACTTAATTTTATTGTCCCAAAGTGCATCCACTGTTCTACAAATAACCCAAGCTTATCCTTCTTTATGGCGCAGCAGGATTGCATTGTGTATAAATGCAAGGTTTCCTTTATTGATTCATGTATTAATGGGCATATAGGCTGCTCCCAAGATTTAGCTGTTATGAGTTGTGTTATTATTAACATTGGTACGCATGTACCAGTATAATATGATATCTTTAGGGGCTGGGGATTTAGCTCAGCGGCAAAAGCGCCTGCCTGGCAAGCGCAAGGTCGTGAGTTTGGTTCCCGGTACCAGAGAAAAACCAAAAAAACCGAAAAAATATATATATATATGATATCTTTAACTCTTTCAGATAGATAATTAGAAGGGGAATGGCTAGGTCAATTTGAATTTCTAGTTTTAATTTTTTTAAAGAGAAAAAACATTAAAACAATGATACATAAACTCAAAACAAGATAGTAGGAGAGTAACACTGGTTAATTAAGGAAACTTCATACTGACTTCCATAGTGGATGTATTAGTTTGCCACCTATAATGTAGAATTCTTTTTTCCCAAAGGTTCAACGATCCCTTGCTATTATCTAATTTCCTGAAGATGGCCATTCTTTCTAAAGTAAGGTGAAATCACATCATCATTATAATTTAAAATTTCTCTAATGGACACAGTTGAACATTTTTTCATGCATTTATTTGTTATTTTGTATTTCTTTTGAGAAGAATTTTTGATTGGGTCACTCATTTTGAAAGGTCTAATTTTTATCTTTAGTTCTCTGTATATTCTAGATAACATCCCTTCATTTGGGGAATAGCTGGTAAATTTTTTCCCATTCTGTAGTTGGTTTCTTCACTCTATTGGTTGTTTGCTATGCTGTCCAGAAACTTTTTAATTTGACACAAGCCCACTTGTTGACTATTCGTACTATTTCCTGTGCAGCTGGCATCCTATTCAGGAGACTTTTCCCTGTACATGTGCTCAAAAATTTTATTTGTTTTATCTTCCAATAAATTAATGTCTCTGTTTAAAATTTAAATTTGTGACCCATTTTCATTTCAGTTTATTACATGATGAGAGCTACAGGTCTAGCATCAGACTTCTGCATGTGGATAGCCAGTTTCCCCGCACCACTTGGCAAAGTTCAGATAGCTCCATGTACCTGGTGTTGTTTCTGCATCCTCTATTTTGGTCCTTTGATCCACATGCCTCGTGTTCTGTCAAAACCGTTTCTTTTTTTATCATTTTAGCTTTGTAGTATACCTTGGGGTCCAAGATTGTGATGTCTCCTGCTTTGTTCTTGTTGCTCAAGATTGCTTTTGTTATTCTGGGTCACGTCTTGTTTCATGTGAGTTTTATGATTGTTTACATCTGTGATGAATACTGTTGATATTTTGATTAGGACTGCATTAAATCTGTTTATCAGTTTGGACAATATGGTCATTTTGACAATATGTGCTCTACCTATCCAGGAACAGGGGATAGGTTTTCATTTTCTGATATCACCATTTATAATACAGATTTCATTATAGAGGTCTTTGAATTCCTTGGTAAGGTTAACTCCAAAGTAGTCAATTTTTCTCCATGCTATTGTGAGTGATACTGTTCTCCTATTTCTTTCTCTGTGAGTGCATTCTTGGTGTACAGGGGTGCTATTGATTCTTGTGTGCTGATTTTGTATTCTGCTTTGCATTGGAATTTGGCTAATAATTTTAGGACTCTTGTGATTCAATTTCTTGGGTCTTCTGTGCACAGAAACATATCATCTGCAATGATAGTTTGATTTCTTCCTTTCCTGTACATATCCCTTTTTTCCCTTTACTGAGTTTTCTGGATATAATTTTGAGAACTGTATTGAACAGGAGTAGTAATAGTGAACATATTTATCATGTTCCTGATTTTAAAGGCAAAGCTTTCAGATTTTCAACTTTTAATATTATGCTAGCCTTTGGTTGTCGTAAGTAGCTTTCATCAGGTTGAGGTAAGGATCTTTTATAACCTTTTTCTTCAAGGTTTTTATCATGAATGGATGTTGGCTTTTATCAAAGGCTTATAGGATTTTACTGAGA